AGTGAACAAAATAAAATAATTATTCTGTGGTTAGTTAACTATTTGTGTGTTTATCCATAGAGTTAGTGGCATTTCAGCTACATATTTATACTGTGTGAAGATAACAGCATCTCCGCTTCGCGTTATTTGCATACAGTAGAAAGACAATATAGGTAATTACTGCCTACGTAATTCGAACAAGAGACACTTATTACAGCTTACGAGGCGCTTAGTACCAGACCAGAAACTGTTCGAATAATTTAATTATCAACGTTAAACATTTTTATTTGGAAAACTTTGTTTACAATGTGTGTACAAATATGTATACATTATCTGTGCATATATTTGAAATATGTAAGATTTAATCACATAAGGCTCAATTGAATTAGTAAATAAAAGTGTGGTTAATATAAGATTAGTTATAACTTATTTTTATGCAATTTATAATTTAAAAAATAAACAAATTTAATTTAATTACAAACATAAACAAGAATACAAATATTTTTTAACAATAAAGTAGTTTAGACAGTGAGAATTTTTTTTTTTTTTATATTTAAATTTCGTATGTTCAACAATAAAAATTAAATTAAATTGTTCAAATCAGTTTGGATCTTTGAACATTATGGTTTCGTGACCTTTTAAATAATATGACTGTTTTCAATATTAAAAGGTTGTCGATCCATAGTAAAAATTGTCGTAGTTGTTTATTTTTCGTTCTTTTAACTCGATTACAAAGTAACAACTGGTAAACTTTCACTGGTTTTTTAACACGATAAAAATAATTTTACTAGTAATGTATAAGTTTTTAAAACCGTCGGTCATGAAAAGTTTAATGGTTTTAAATCAAATAAAAAATGTTATCAATCGAAAATATGAGAACGCAGTGATTCTTAATGTGTAACCTACAGGTTGATTAATTCATTACGGTATTTGATTTCTACTTGAATGGCTTGATCCGCCTTAGTGATTACGCTATAACACTTCACTTATACACATTATTAAACGTTACTTTTAACTTTGATCAAACTTTTCTGTTTTGTTTCGTACACATTATAAAGGCACTAACCAGATGTTCTAAACCACGAGGAGGGAGGAATTCAGATACTTTACAGTGGGAATAAAGTGATGATGAAATAACTATGATTTCATAAATAATTATAAAATTATATATTTTATTATTGTATTATAATATTATATATAGTCGTTAAAATAATCATACAGTCAGTAAAATGTAAAATTGTAAATTAATTTTCGAACGGTCGTTCATCGATAATGATTTTATGAGTATTTTATAATGATGCACTTCTTCTTAGGTTAGGTTAGAATACTTCTAATACAAAAGTGACAGAAAAGCTCCTTGTCGATTAATCCTCTTTTTATCTATTTATCTTTGTGTGTCTGGTTTTTCCACAATTTTGCTTTAATAAAGAAATAGATTGGATGTGGAAAATGATACTCATTGCGCGTTGTCAAAAATATCCCCATTGAAAATTAACAAGGGGTGCTTAGAATAAAATAAGGTTAGGAATTATTACACTAGACGGAATCAAGTGTAAATCGATGGTTTTACGCGCTCCCGGTTTCTTCGCAATTTTTCATCATTTGATTTTTAACTATCTTTAAAATAATCGTAAAACTTAAAATATTGTTATTGAACTACGAAGTTATTTAATAATACGATTACAAGTGGTAAATTGATACTCACCCGGTTTGAAAAAATTGGCTGCTGACGACACTCCTTAGAACGTTACGTTTTACATTACTAGGGATTATGATTTATGTGTCAACACTCAAGAATATCGTGGTATCATTTTCTTTCGGGGTTCCCGCCAAATCTACTACAAACGTTATTTATATAGTTTACTCAGCGTTCCGTGTAATCGTACACGCCATACGCCTCGTGTGAACGATTTAATAACGCGTGTCAAATGCTATTCCAGTCGAGGCGTGGCGAAACGCTCCGGGTAGTCCCCCCCTCTTTTTTTTTTTTTTTAAAAATAAATTGCGATTATACACAAAATTATGAACAAAGTTTTGATCGCACTACCGATTTCCCGACATGCGAATCCGCCCACCGCCGTTTGGTCTAGTACATCGTACGGACGTAACGTATTGTTATGCGTACGAGTGCGCTGCCGGGAACATGACCGGGCACGTTAGCGGATATTATAATTGGTATTTTTTTTTTATAAAAAAAAACGCTATTCCACGCCCACGTCGTTTGCCCGGTCGTAACATGATAAATCATGAACACGATTAACACGGGGTACGTGCACGAGAGCGAGGGAAGATCGTGCGGGCAAGGACAACTTGAAACGAAATCGCCAGCGAACAACGCGCGCAATAACGATTACACGTAAGTGTGTCGCGAAAACGGTTTGGCGGAACGTTTTTCGGTTCGTCGTACGCGCACCGACGAACGAATGTGTTTTCGAAACGCGAGGAGGAAAACGGTATTGAAAGTTATGAAAACAGCGAGACTCGTATCTCAACACCATCGTAGGTGTGTGTAGAACTGAATTTCAGGGCTTGCCCACGATAATTTTGGACGCTATATCTTCACAAAACGTGCGGATTTATTCAATGTATTGCAGTGGACAAATATTTAAATAAAAATAACTTTAATTTTATTATCTTGTACATTCTACTCAGATTGAGATTATCCAGTATAATATAATATTTATGTAATACCTATACAGTATTATACAATTATATTTTTATCATGATTTATACTATTGTAGTCAATGATAGTTGTTTACTATCATTCTAAGTTTTTGTTAATTTTTATTTAGAAAATTTAGTTTTATCTTTTCTATTACGAAATACCATTTATTTTTGAATAAATTATATTTAATTTGAGCAAGCTACATCGAATATCCAATCATTCATTATGTATAATATGTTTTGAAACGATCAACTTTTTTAAAAAAAAAAAATACCGTAAGAGATTGAAAACCATTACGCTACACGCGTGGCCATTATTATTCGGTACGTTTAGTGGACGCGATATCCTACGGTGGTTTTATTCGCACGTGGTCGGCGTTGAAACCGTGACCGACGGAGCATGCTGTTGCTCTGTACTATTATCACGTTTATTCGAAACGAAAATAATAATTATTTCGTGTCAAACGGTCTGAAAACTTTTTCCGCAGATTTCATGTTGCGCGCGATACTAGCGTTCAAGCAACACTCGCTGCCGACGCCAAATAAAATATTGTATTTTAAACATCGATTTCCCGCAAAACGAAAAAATAAACCGGCTAGAGTGACAATAACGAAAGTTTTAAATTTACATTTCCGTAGATGGAATCGACTCCTATATCCGATTGTTGCCTTCGCGGTTCTCGGAAATGTTGCTCTGACCCGAGGACGTCTGCGATTTCGTTCCACACATCATACATAAATTATGTTCGTTTAACATACATTTTTAATATTTTCGCGGAACACTTGGTCTCACGTGGCATTTTAACAAATCGATTGGAATGTGAAAAAAAAAAAAGGAAAAAAAGAAACTATTACTATTTTCGTACATGTTACGTCAAAAGCGACACGATCACAAATATTCGAAACAGTAGACTACAGTTCATAACTGCAATGATGTACATTGAATTGATAATTAAATAAAATTAAATAAGACCAATGTTACTGTGGTTATAAATAAAAATATACACTTATACTATCAATGGTGCAGTTCGTAGGTACTTAATATTCACTTTTTAATTTTTATCCGGCACAAGGAGATCGTGAAAAACTTCACCTACAGCTGACTTGGTTTATTGTACCGGTGCGAATTATCATTCCCCTTAATTTGGTATCTACCATACCTACATTGTATGTCTCATCATCCGCTTTTTGTTGACGGGCAGAGTAAATGCGCGATGATAGATGTTATTATTTTTTCGCATAAATTATATTTAATTTTTTAACTAGAATTTATGTAAATATATATATTTGTATAAACTAAAACTAATTTTGTTTCATACATATTACATAAATGTTTACCTATTTTATTAAAGTTACCTAAATCTTATGATACTAAAAATAAAAATAAGTTGATTAATTTTTATATTTCAAACACAAAATTATAATATACATCAAAATGTTTGTTTATTATTAATCTGAATTTTTCTGTTGACATAATAGCAAAAAACTTGTACTACTGTATTATATTTTTTTAAATTATACTCTTCGCAAGTAATATATTACTAAATTTGATACTACGATTAGAAAAAAAACAAACTAGTTCCCGTAGTAATTTGTAAGACTTCAATTCTAGATTCTAGTATACATGTAATATTTTAAAAATTTGATTATTTTTTATGGTGAGGTTAATTGTGCAATTATTCACCTAGCATATTATTCTATGAGTATTACTGTAATAAAAATGATTTATAGCCTATTCAACAAAATATAATAATGTGATACACTTGATCAGATAAATCGATGGAATCATTTGATTTATTTGTATTTTTTCGAATAGTTTATACGTCAAATACCCAAGCGTTTTAGATTATAACATGAAAAAAATTACAATCACAAAAAATATTGTACTCTTTGTTATATCTTTTGACTGTTTCGAACAGATTTTTGGAATTTGTCAATTAGAACCAAATCTGAAAAACGATATTTACGTTTACAAGAATTTAAAAAATTCTACAATCGAATTATCAGTACTCGTAATCTGATTTAAATTCGTGATCAGTGCACGAAAAAAAAAAAAATGGTTAATGTATATTTGTATATTTACGTACAAACAATCTTGAAACCAACACACAATGTATGCAACATTTCCGGACCGTGACTACCAAATGAATGCAATTTTGCAATTTAAAAACACATATATATATTGTAAAATGTACGCCGCGATAAATTCGCATTGTGGTGGATTTTCCAAAAAGACGGGAAAACATGGGTGTGGATGTGTACGTTGACGAAAGTGTTCGGAGATCGGTCACGGTACCAACAAAAATCATAAACACGTTGCAATAATGTATTATTATACGTAATGATCGATTAATCACCTCATCAAGTTCATCAGGTGCACGGGGAAGTAGCAAAGAGCGAACATGACCACGACTGCCACCAACATTTTCGCCGCTTTCCTCCTGGCTTTTATCTGAGCCATAGTGCTGTTACACCCCATGGTTGCCGTCCGATTGAAGCCTGCGAAATAACGTAAACTTCGCCTTGAGCATTATTACAATATATGGTACACGTATAATGTCTATTGTACACCTATACCTATATTATACAACCCGCGGTTTTCCTAACTAGTTAAAACTTTGTTTTTATATACATTACACCATTCTTCGGCTGACGACGCGCCACCCTTTCGACAAGTTTACGCGTATTGTAATACGGTAATGCACATTACCGGGGACGTGTGTGAAACCACATAGTCACCGCCAGAAATTTTGACAGGAATGTGCATCAATATATCGTATACGCTGATAACTAAACAATGTTTGAATTAAACGTAGGATAATGTTTTCAGATTTTATTACTACACAAAATTATATTCATTTTTTTTCGATGGCTACAAAGTAATGCAAGCTATAAGAAAATCTGACAATGATAATAATAGACTCTGTTCAATATTTTTAAACTTTATTCTTTTTTTTTTTTTTTTTTTTTTTTTAATCCAGGGTAGTGCAAGTGTACCCTCTTGCACCCTCCTCGCGACGCCCATAAATACCCACACACATAATATTTCAGCGGTGGCCCAACATTTAATTATCTGTGGGGGGAGGGATTATTTATGTTCAATCGTCATATTCGTTCAATCGGAAAGGTCATAAAGGTATACCTTTAAATGATTGAGAATGACAATTTTAGCATTACAATTGAGAACGTTCAATAAATTAAATTTTTTTCTCACGTTGCCATATGTAACAAAAATTATTGTTATCAAACGGCCAATTACGATCAGTAATTTACAAACACAAGATATTCAACTTTTGGAAATCATTAGAGACTATATTATTTAACTTTGACTAATAATGGTCAATAATGGTTAGATGTTTAGTCATCGTACAAACATCAATATTTTCGCTTCGTATATTGCATTATAGAAAATATTGAAATAAATATACTTTCGGTGGAAGTCTAGTACAATATGATTCAAATAAATAACGCTTTTTTTGGAATCGCAAAGATTCAAGGATCGAATGCAAGTATTCAAATAATAAATGTACCGCAAACGTTCAAACAGATTCAGATAAAAAAGTATTAATCGAAAGATTCGGTAAGCACAATCATTCTAATATCCCTACCTCTACCATAGAACGCTATTCAGAAATCATTATAATATAGGCTATAGATACCTAACACATTGTATTGTAATTATTAAAACTATTTTATAGTTTATATTTTATAGTGCTCGACTTGAGGGGGAACGCAAGGGGACGGAGTACCCCAACTAATTTTCAGAAATTTTAGCGTCCCCCTACTATTATTATGTTGTAATTATAACGCTTAACAAGTTTTGGGGACGCTTTTTTTTTAAAAAAAAATAAAGAGAGTCCCCCTTCTTTAATTTTTCCAAGTCGAGCATTGTTTATAACCAAATGTATGACTATGATAAAAATATTTTTACTACTAATTTTATTTATATACTCGTTATTACATCAATTGTTGTTGTCTAAAGCAATACAATTCATATTATGGAAACATTGTACGTAAATTTGTTCTCAATCATATTGGTTATGTGGGTCAACAATAAGTTCTCTGTCAATTTTATGTATTCTCAATCGTTCGATTAAATAAGTAAAACGTTCTCGATCCTATTTTACCCCAGTTGTCACGCATGTTCAATTTCTTTTCGCACAACAATCAAGACCGCAAAAGTATGACATGCGAGACAAAAAATTGCGTTTCTCTGGAAAATTATAATCTCGCACAACAGTACAGTATTTAAATCACCACCGCCTCTATAAGTGAATATATATCTGTGACTGTATTTCTACACTAGATTACAATAAACGAGATTTACGCGAGAACGTGTCCTCTTACTTCAAACAGAGTACTGGAGCAGTAGTTAAGAAATTACGTGATGGATGATGGGGAGGAGATAGTGAAAATCTTTTTTCGTTTTTGATTCGTAACACTGCACGTATAATACGTATACTAATATGTGTCCTGGATCGATAAACATTTCTTTAGCGTATTGATTTATTACGTGCGTGTGACAGTTCATTGTCTCGTGTGAATGTATTTAAACAATTATATGCATTTAAACGCCAGTTTATGTGTTTTGACTTATTCGCTGAACAGTTTCACCGTATTTTTTCGCCGTTTTCTGAACCATGAGTATTTCTTTTCGATTTCAATAAATTCATTAATAGGTTTCCACTGTTGCTCATGATATAGCAATGTTACCAAATGTTACAAGCATTTATCAAACAACATTTAAGTAGCAAATTTAAACTACTAGAGTGCATGGGTTTGACTTTTTTTTCTATTTAATTTATTTTATAATTACAGCTAGGTATTATACACTATATTATATAAATATGCAAAAGATATATTTCACAATGATGGTTGCTTCTAACCATTTTTTTTTTCTGCTTATATTTTAAAGAAACAATGTCGTTCTTTATTCAATTGACTTTATTATTAAACTATAGCTCTACGTTTGTATAAAATATCTTTTAACGCCCACATATTTCATCGAGCGAATACTATAGTACTTTTTAATGCTACTAAATAAACGAAAAGTCAAATATATATAACTAAAAAAACGAATTGAATGTTCATTCCCAACTCAAATAAAACTCATATTTTACAATTTTATATGTTGCTTCAGAGTTATATACTAATAGTGCCCTCAAAATAAATTTCCTTTATTACAATGTATTTATGTATTTTACCATCGAGTACCTATATAAGTCTAAGTAATTCTATTTTTTGTTTTCAAAATGATGTTAAAATGATCATAGTAACAATTCAGACGATCAATTATTAATTGATATAATTTAAAAAAAAATACCAATGCTTTCGACGTAGAGAAAAAATACGTTTTGAATTGTTAGTAAATGGTTTGTCATTAAATATAACAAAGCGGAACGTTGTTTTTTCTTGCTAAACATTGTTGGCTATAAAAAATATATTCAAATTCTGTGTTGATTTAAATGACAACGTAGGGTATATTTTAAATGTATGTGTACAGCGATCAATAATAATTTAGAGTTTTATGGTACTCGTTTATTTAATTATTTTTCAAACATTAAAATATGTTCCTTTAAATATTAAACAATTTAAAATAATAATATCACGACACTGACGAAAATAAATCAAATGTGTTTTTTCGTATCGCGACGTACAAAACTACTATGCCAGTATTATAACGACATATCATCAATGCTATAAACACAATACATATAAACCTATTACGCGTATAAATATTTACGTATACACTATAGAGAGAAATAATCGCATTGTGTGTGATACTAATTCGTGTTTGTCGTTTTTTCTTAAGAACAAAAAAATATATAAATATAATAAAATAAAAAAAAAAAACATCTCACCGTTATTATAGGTGTTTGCGTTGAACATCTGCACCGTTTCCGTGTGGCCGGGTATGTTGTCAGATTTCCACAGAACTCGTACAATCTGATAGTAGGTGACCGACATAAGGGACAGGGGCAGAACGTATAGTATGATGATCTTGGCGATTTGGTAGGCGGTTTCCGATTCTTGGCTCCACAGGGCTTCGCATTGAGTCAGATAAATATACATCCGTTTCGTCTTGTTTATAGCTTCCAGTACTAATAGCTCAGGAATGTCTGCGAGCGAAATAAAAAAAAAAATCCAGATTAATGTTATCGGGTTTTTTAATACTACACACGTTATTCATTGTGTACATATATTGTATACACGTGTGAGCGCATGGGTGTGTATGTCTACGGTTCTTTTTTTTTCTTTTTTTTTTCTTTGATTTGCTTTTATTATAAAAAGAAAAACATTACAGCAAAGCGATTAAATATGATAACTAAAAAACCGAAAAGTGTCACGAGTATTCATCGGAAAACATATAATTGAGCTTAGAAATATAGATTTGTTATGTAGAATTAGAAAGTAAATTTTTCAAATAATATAATAATAATATTTTAATAATTTTGAAACACAGGCTTTCGTATTATTTGTAGGATAGGATTGAAAATGTTTGAAAATTATATTTGTTCAAAGGACGCCTTCTATGTCATCCATCTATCTTTTTTTAGCGGAGTCATGCGACTGGTGGTTATCTATAACAGTGGTTGAGGTTCGGGGTTCGATAGCAGTTGGTGGCGGCCAGTCGGTTACGTGTGACTGGCCAAACTTCCCCGCTTTATGACGCTATGCCGCGCCGCAGTTTTCATACCGAACCGATATTGTATTAATCTGTTTATTCGTATAATAATTTGTTTAATCGTTATTATCTGTTTTTGATCAGGTTTTGTCAAAATTATTTCCACAAAACATATTTACATATTATGCCGAGAAATGTATGTATAATATACATTTTATATGTGTATGTAAAATCAACGATGATAATGCATGTACTAAATATGAATACGCGGTTGAAATTCGATTAATTTTGTAACACAAAATGTTTTAATACCGAAAAACAGTTTTAAATCAAAGATATCACTGCACGTATTATATTTTTACATAAAATAATAATAATTATAATAATAAACATTTAGTACGGTTATATATTGGGTTTAGTTTCGAATCCATCGTCGTCCGAATGTCGGTAGAAAAAATGTTTGCATTAAAGATGACTCCCAATGACGCAGGAAAAATGCGTCACTGGAAAATGTTCTTATGCGCGTACATTACTAATTAATATTTCGACGGTTTAATCAACTCTTTGATAACCATAGTTGATTTCATGAGAGGAGAAACAGCAACACGAGCGTCACACAATGCGTCACGGTGTACCTATATAATATCTTGATTTATTCATAACTCCGTAATGGGCGATATGTGCTAACATGATAAAAAATAACCTGTTTACAAAACGTTCTAATTATGATAAATTTGAATGTATCGTTAGGGTCTAATTTGATGAAGCTATTAATGTAGCTGATTTGCTGCAGAAGCGAATTTACTAACTCCCGAGTCATGTTTCTTAGGGGTATACGCTCGGATTGACAGTGGTATATTTAGGATAATTTTTCTGAGACTGAAGGGGAAAAAGTTGACTATATAAGCACTCCTACAGGTGAAAGATGATAATATAAAGTTCCTGGAAAAATGTTATGCACGGAAAAGTATGTAGATCTTCATGTAAATACAAGTGAATTGCTCAACGTGCAAGTAATAAACACATTTATTCGCCTTTATCATAAATCAGAGCATACGATAAAACTTTATTGATTATGTTGTCACAATCAACAATTTATTGTCATGTAGATAATGACGTTTTATACAAAGCCGCGTTACTTTTATTTATTGAAATGATATGCTCTTGTAATGAAGTTAAAATTATTTTTGACTGTATAATTTTAACATCTATTGATTAGGGATAGCGCATTATGTATAAGAATTCAGTGTTTTAATTAGAATAAATGATAATTCTCAGGAAATTAACAGTCGTTTATTTTGATTTGATTAAGAAATTCAAATACAAACTACAATAATTATATTGCGGTCATTTATTAAATTAACTGAGAAAATATGTTGACACTGATTGATTTATATACAAAAATATTTTACATATACGGTAAAAATGTTACCGTAAATATATGAGTTCTTCGAGTAATAGCATGTAATATAAACATTGATGTAAAAATACCGTATTTTATTTGGTTGTGTTTATATGCAGGTACGGTACCTACGCATAAATCGTTATATGCAGGTACGGTACCTATACATAAAACGTTAAATGCAGGTACGGTACCTACGCATAAAATGTTGTATGCAGGTACTGTACATTCGTATCGAAAATAAAATATAAAACTGAAAAAAAACAGTCAATCGTTCTTTGCTCGGTAATCATGGATATTGTATACAATAGGTACTTGAAGTACATACAGTTTGAACATACACGATTAGAGTGATCAATTCGATAAGTGAAAAAAGATAATATCATGTCTATTGTTATGTACATTTTATCACAATGAACAAAAAAAAAACCGTGAAGTGTATACGGCCCGTAGTATAAATATAAATTTCGAATGTACCCACAAGTTGAAAAGGTTAGGCACGCTTGGTATAAAACTTAATAAGAGTAATTGGCAGATTATTTCATCACATAAAGATTATCACTGTCTCGATAAGGTGACGTGAGGATTTTCCACCACACCGATAATCAGTCTTGAACTGTACTCATCGCAATATTACCACATTGTAAAAACAGTAAAGTTAAAGTACAAAAGTATATTACATGAAACCAGTTGCTCGCAGACACTTGTCTGCATTTTATTCTATGCTCCGTGATTCTCCGTGGTCCTTTCTGTGTTTAATTTTGTGTTCTATGCATAGTTATTTGTTCGGTTTTTTGCGTTTTTTTGTGTGAAGTGTGATTTTTTGAGTTCTTTCATTATCATGGATGATATTAAGAATGATATTAAAGTGGGCCAAATATTCAACAGTTATGAACAATTTTTTGAAACTTTTAAAACGTTTTGTGATGAGAATTACCAACCGTTAATTGTTACCAACAACAATAAGCGTCAAGTTACAATTCTTTGCCGACATGTTTACAATCGGTCTTCAAATAGTACAGGTAAACGAACTAAACTACACTACAATTACATTGGGTGCAAAGCTAAAATTACATGTTTCAAGCCTGCTAACTCTACTCGGGTCAAGATAACGAGTGTTAGTTTAGAACATAATCACGAAATAAGTAGGTCTGCGTTTGGAACGACTAGAATGAAACTCACTGGTGAACAGAAAGACGTGTTGACAGATCTTCACGACGCCAACTGTAAAGTCAGTCAGATCAGTCATGTATTTCAAAGTAAATTTGACAAAAAACTTTCATCGCAAAAAATTCGAAATTTGCTTCAAAAGTTAGTTCCCAAATCGTCCGATGAATCGGAACTGCAGATGTTTCTGGAAGGAATTGAGGAAGCGGGAGGTGACGTAATCAGTAAATTAGATGTTGATGGAAACGTTTCAGTGCTTTGTATTAGTTCAAATATTATGAAAAAATCTTTTGAAGCTTCATGCTCAACTGTCGTTCAAATTGACACATCGTTTGATTTTGACATGTCCAAATATAAATTGTGTGGCTTTTGTTATCTCAATCCTCCTACCAATAAAAGTGAGATGTGTATGCTGGCGTTTCTATCTGAAGAGACCAGCAGTAATCTCCACATAGCTTTTTCAGTTTTTAAAACGATATGCACTCAAGATACGAATATTTTCATAGTTGACAAAGATTTTAATGAAATTTCTGTTTTGAAGGAAGTGTTTGAAAAAGCAACCATTTTACTATGCACATTTCATGTAATAAAATATGTTAAAAATCTTGTAGCAACAGCACCCGTAGTGGTTGAAATTAAAAATGACATTATGAGTAAATTCAAAAATATGTTGTATGCTCAGAGTGAAAAGCTCTACGATGAAAATAAAAATATTTTTCTCGCTTCAGTTAATGATATTCAAGTTCGAGTCAACATGAAGTACGTTTCACTAAAAGACCAATTCAACAACAATTGGGACAGTTGCAAAAACATTTGGGTTAAATGTTTTAGAAATAACCTTCCGACGTTAGGAGACAACACAAATAACAGAATTGAAAGATCTTTTTGGACATTAAAACAAAGTCTTCATATAAGGTTCTCTTCGCTTCCTGAAATTTCTCAAAGTATCGTTCATCTTGTATCGTTCTGCTCAGAAAGACTTACTGAATCCACTTCTACGGCAAATCTCAGATCGCTGAAAATACATGACAAAGACACTAACATCTGTAAATTGAATGCTGAAGCATCACTTGCCTTGAATGACCGTGGTTGTGTACTTTTTCATAAAAGCTTGAAAGCTTTACAAGACCGGAAAGAGTTTATGAAGTTGGAATGTGGAGGTGTACGAGAACGATATGAAGAGGATGAAGTCGTTTATAAATGTTCGAATACTGAATGTACCTGTACGTTCTATGCTAACAATCAGTCTCCATGCCGCCATATACTACTAATAAGAGAACAACAATGTGGGTCACTCTCAGCCGTTTTCGAATTGTCTCTATTTCATAGTCGTTATCATCAACGAAGAAATGTAGAGCTTAATTATACAGCTACACGTAATTTAGATGAAATAGAAGATCAAGTACAACTAGATGAGATAGAAAATAGAGTACGTCTAGATGAGGAAGAAGTTCCGGTATTGAGTAATCGTCAAAAATACAATATGATGTTGCCTATCGCCCTCAGCATCGCTAGCCTATCTGCTTGCCATGAAACAGACCAATTTCAAGCTTACCTTAAGGGTATGAAAGAAATTGAACGTATCATACGATCTGGTTCTGAAATTTAAAATTGTTCATTACTTGCAGCGAGCGCTTGTGCATCTATAGAAACTAAACCAAAGTCAACACTCGCAATCGAATTCGAGCCTCCAGTACAACAAACATTGAACGAAGAGGACAATAGCGAAGGAACATCAACCACACTTGAAGACGAAAGCAAGCCTGCTGATCTATCTGGACGATTACTACTGAAGTTTAAGGATAAATTGAAAGTTAGAGGTAGACCCAAACGCGCATTAAAACAACTTTGCTCCTTCAATAAAACAAGTGTTGATAGAGCCACTAAAAAAAAAAACATAGCAGTGAGCCACCCTCAAAAAAACAAAAAAAGTGATGAAGGTAATACCTTATAATACAGGTAATAACTTATAATAAGTGACAGCATATCAAATTGTTTGATATATATATATTCTATTTGACGCATTTTATTCATGTAATAAAATATGTAATATTGTAATAAATAATATGACGTAATATACCTTAAAAAAATTTAATGATTTTCATGTCTGAATGATTTTGACGCAGTACCTGCATATAACGTTTTATACGTATGTACCGTACCTGCATATAACGATTTATGCGTAGGTACCGTACCTGCATATAAACACAACCATTTTATTTTTTAATTGTGTAATACGCGTATGGTTCGCGTCAATATTGTTATTTGTAACTCGTTCATGTTATCATTTTCGTGCAATGCGTAGCGGTGCGTTGCCTATCCGCAGCCATCGTCGGCGGCGGTGATGAGCCTCCGTGAGCGACCGGCCGGGCACGTAATCGCGCTGTTATCATCGCGCGTAAATGTATTCGTTATACCACGTTTTCGAAAAGTTGTCCGTTATGTTTTTTGTTTATTGTTAAGTCATGTTCTCGGTAACACGAGTTTTCTTAAGTTTCTTTGTTTTCAGTTTTATTGTGGTGACACTGAGACATTTATCTTCATTTTGTGGTATCCGGCGGCACAGCCTTCGCGGTGAATTTCGTCGGCACCGCCGTTCTCTCTGTTCGTGTTCGTCGTGGTGTGCACATTAACCGTGTCTTTTTCAATTGTTCGTTGGTCTACAGCCATCTTGTAAAACCGCGTTGTCTGTGTTTCGTGTTCTCGTGTCGGCTGTCTGGTAAGTGGCGTTCTGCGCAAATAGTATTTCCTATCATTCATAGTCACCGTGTTTTAGGGTTGTCACTTACCAACAGCCATTGTGAATAACGTGGTTTTAGTTCATTTTAATCATTGTCCGGAGTTTGTAGATCCTTTCGTCTTCGTTGGTAATTGCGAGTATTGGTCGATCATTTTTGTTTCTTTTCTTTAAAGGCCGACGGGCCTAGCCGTCAAGAGCACGATATTGTATTTGTTGGGACACGTTCGTATTATATATTACACTTATTATTTATTATTGTGTGACGTGTGGGCCATATTGTACATTATTCATTTATTTGAATTATTTGTACTGTAGCCACTATGGGCAATTAATTACTATTAATTTATGTACCGTGTGGGCCACATTGGTATATTATTATTATTTATTTTATTATATTTGCTGATTCAAAACTAAACACATTATATTCATTATTTATTTATATTTGTTATTTTTGAATTGTTTTTTTTGTCAACTGTATTTATTTATATAATTATTTATTTATATTTATTGAGCCAAAGTGGTTATATTACCAAACCTGATTGTTATTTTTATATTGAATTATATTATTGGTTTTCTTTTTTTTTTTATTATTACAGTGAAATAAACTGTTTCTTGATAATTTTCAAGTTTATCATTGAATATTGAGTAATGACGTAAGAGACAGCCCACTACAATTGTAGGCACTCGAAGCATTGATATGTATTATACGTGTATAATTCAGTATTTTACAAAAATATTATGGTGTTTACATAAATGTTAACTATATAACTGCCAGATTGAAATAATAATGTAAGATCAATAGTATTAGACATTATTAGATCAATCCATAGTAAAAATAAATAGTAACTACTAATGTTTAGGAACTTCAATTAATTTTAACTAGTAGCCTGTAGGTAATTAAATAGAATTAATAAAATGTAGTATAATATTATACTGCGGTCTACTGTCTACGATTATGACTTATGACTTAGCACAAAGTTACTAAGTACACTTAGCAAATATAATTAAGCACAATACCAAACTCGCTATCAATCATCATAAGAACCGTATATAATGCGATTTAAGTGACGTATTCAGAAATAATTCCGACATTGAAATATAAAAAGGCAACTTCAATAATTTCAAAGTCAACAACCCCAAAAAACACCCAAACGCGCATTATTCCACATCACCAAAAATAAATAAAAACAAACACGGAAAGTTTTTATTCAAAAATAGGTACGCTTCTATTGCACTTCTATAACAATTACAACTAAAAAATTTACTCTATACCAAAATATCCGTCGAAGAACCTCACAAACGCCATGAGCTTATTCAATGCACAAATTGTTAAGAATACGGTTACACGAAAAGCTATTGTGCTCACCCACCAAGATGCGTCCGTAGGACAACACCTGACCTCAACTTGCACCCTGCCCAAGGACCAAACACCAACTTGCACATTATGCAGAGGCAACCATACAGCGAACTACCAGGGATGCAACACACACAAAAATCTTCAACGTCTACATCGAAACTCAAGTTACATTTGTAAAAACATATAAATATAATATTAATCTAGTAAAAAATACTAATGGTGTAAACGTGAGAAGTAACTCCAGCGAGGATAACACTCAGATTACACCAATAATACAGGATCCAAAATAATTCCCTCCTCTCCCCAGCAAAATCCCTCCTGAATCACATTAAAAAAAAAAAAATTACACACAACATGAAACTCATAGTTCCTCAAACGAAAGTAACATAGAAAAACTGATGTCCTCATTTTTGAACGAAATCAAGATATTAATAAACCCTTTAATTCAATTACTCACCATAGTTATAAATAAAATAATTCTATAATATGACTAATTTCTTAAATACAAAATCGCTTCAAATTTTGCTATGGAACGCAAACGGTCTAAAACAAAACGAGCCCGAATTATTACACCTTTTAATTCAAAATAAAATAGATTTTGCTTTAATAACAGAAACTCATTACACTTCCAATACTAACCAATTTTTCCCTGGATATCAAATTTACAGAGCCGATCATCCCAACGGAACTGCCCACGCAGGATCTGCCATTCTAATCTCAACAAAAATCCCACACTACCCGCTTCAAAACCTTCAGTTACCGTCAATACAAGCAATTAACATACAAATCGTCATAAACCATATTCAACTTCACTTTCCTCTGTTTATTGTCCTCTTCTACCGGCAGTAACGCCCCTCCAACTTTCAACTTCTTAAAATCACAAGGACGCACGTTCATCGCTCGTGGTGACTACAATGCCAAGAACACCCAATGGGGTAGTAGATTGACAAACACTAGAAGGAGAATCCTCCTCGACAATATCCAAAAATTTGGTTGCACTTTCGTATTTCCAAATGGTCCAACTTATTGGCCTACCATTTAAATCGTCAACCAGATATACTCGACTTATTTTCTCATCAATTTCAAAACACATAAAATATACCATCCATAATAGTTGCAAAATCTCATCAGATCAAAAATACAAAAGAAAGCTTCTTAATAGTAGACTCTACCTACTACGCCCAATTATCAAGTCTAAACTCTCAATTAACAACAAACTTATAATATAATAATAAAAAAATATATAATATATAATATTAATATATAGTTTTATTAACTTATAATACACAAATCAATGCTAAGACCCATATAGGCCTATGGGATCAAAATATGGGGATGTGCTAAGCCTTTCCAAATAAAAACCATCCAGGCCTTTCAATCAATCTCTCTACGACAAATAACATCCGCACCATAATATGTCTCTAATCTCTCATTACACAATGACCTGGAAATTGAAACAGTTCTTATTATAGTTAAAAATTACTATAAAGCATTTCACACATAATCTATCCAACCATTTAAACCCATTAATATCCAGTTAAGCCATCTCAGACTTGCAGACAATCCCCCACATCGACTAAAAAGTAATTGTTATCGTGATTTTTGAACCCCAACTCGTACTAACTAACAAAACCCCTTTTCATGTCTGATGGTATCCACACCGGTGGACTTCCCTCCTCACGTAAAGTCATATTTTTTTTTCTTATCTATTGTTATTACTTGCTACAAAATTTACTTATTGTATACATAAATACAGAATGTAAATACACTTTTGCTAATAAAAAAAAAAAAAAAATTATTTATATATAAAAAATCATCCGAACTAAAATAACAATAAATACATCGAAATAACATTAATTTTTCCTATACTCTATGTGCTTTTGATTTAAATAATAAAAAGTAAGTTGAAGCATTAATTGAAAACTATACTGTATTAATATATATATATATATGTTTACTTTAATATTTATAATACTTTATTTTTATTCAATTATTAAAGTATTAGGAGAAAATGTTTACAAATATTGTTAAACAAATAAATTATTTTTAATTATTATTGTAATATTAAAAAACGTAATGATTATACAATCAAAGAAATATTTAAGACTTGACAATATAACTTTTATTGCATCATATGGCATTTTTGAAAAGCCATTACATTTAAATTATGAAATAAAAAATTTTTTCTTTTATTATTATTGTTGCGAAGAATTATAATCTCCCGATATTAAAATATTCAGTATAAAACGAATAGTAGATAAAAATTTTCATCGTGAGTTTTTCGTATATATTTAACGCAAATATCCAATTTAGCGTTATATTCCGTGTTGAATATTCGTATTATTATTATTATTATTATTAATATTATTATCAAAACAGACGTCTGTATTTTGAAACCATGAGAAAAACGAAAATATTATATTGCAAATAATAAAACTTCATACCCGCGAAATAAATCCAACACGAGATCATTATATCGTCCAAATGATCGTCTTAGAACATTGACATTCCGACTACCTGACGCACGGCAGCATGTCGTTTATATGATTATGTTTACATGTAAAAATACCCTTTATACGGTATACAATATAGCTATTATGCGATACAAGTACGACGTATTCACCACCTAACCCCGTACGTGGGTCTCCGGGCGAACGTGCTTCCGTCGTCGCGTCTTTCGCTCGTTGCGAATTTCAATATTCCATTACCTGAGGCGAGTCCCACGATCCATATGATAATGATTGCGGTCCTGGCACGGCCGGTGGTCGATTTGAATTTCAACGGATGGCAGATGGCATACCAGCGATCGATGGAAATCGACGTCAGCGTCATGACGGACACCGTGACCGAGACCGTCTGTAAAAAAAGAAAAACGGGATTACATTAAAGACGCTTACTATTCTTATTTTTATTAATCGGACGGCGGAAAATGCGGCTCAGTGATTGCACGTTGATGGTATAGTCATCGGTGAGCTATTACAGAGGCGCGGCGGGGATTCAATTTGGATAATGGTTTCTATATTTTTCGTCACTCCTCTCACGAAAGTTTTACTTGACATGCAAATTCGTTTGAACAAAAAAAACACAATTCAACACCCGAATAACCAAGTAATTTCAACAAAAAATGAGAACAATAAACTTTAAACACTTTTTCAGTTTATGTTTAAAAAAAATAAAGAAAAACAATTATAATAAAAATAACCAATACATGTATAATGAATAGTCCGAAGACAAGATACGGAGTGTGTTAGAAATGAAATACAAAATTCAAAACATGTCAAGAAATCATTTTTCCGTTTTGCTGAGCACTCTCGATTTTTTTTAAACCGTATAAAAACTTAAACTGGCATTATTTATTTTAAATCCCGTATCCATCGAACCACAGATTGGTAGAAATTTATTTTAAACCAAACTCTATTGAGTTTACAAATATTTGTATTATTTTTCATACAATATGTGTAGTGTAATCGACTATAATAATATTATATAGAGTTTTTAAGATTAAATTTTTTTTCTTTTGTCAATAACTCGGATATAGGTCATGTAAAATGTGTTTAAACATTTAATTTAAATTAGCGAAAGTGAACATATTCTTGCATGAAGCTGGAAGATTTTAAAAAATAGTTGAAGGCATATCATCTAGGGTGTTGATGGAGAAGAGGGAATAATCAGTATTCCCGGTGATTCTATTATCTTGTGTCTTTGTAATTTACGACTTTAACTCCATCACTATACGTATGATGAACGAGCAATTATGATCTAAACAGATATAAAATGACGCGGGTGTATAATACATGCCGTACGTATATTATCATCGCGAACATAGTAACAGGTATATATACCGTTTATTTTAATTCGAATGATAACTCGTATGTACGTTTGGAACAGATTCAATGAGATCCTTCTAATTATTACCAATCATGTAAGCTTATAAGTAAAATAATCTTCTAACTATTAATATGCTTTGTGTATGTAAATTATTTTCACTTCTAAATATCTTCATGTATACATCGTAGGTATTGTTTTATTTGTTATGTATATTATCTTAATTTTATTTTTAAACGTTTGTTTTTTCGTTTTAACTTTATAACTCCAATTCATCAATGAGGGGTTATCATCAGTGATGATTTGGGACATAATATATGTTTTATTTTTTAATCATATTTAAATCTATCGCCTGATGTTCAATAAACTTCCATTGTGATTATAAATTCCAATTTTACTAAACATATTTACACCTGAGATTAATTATAAAAATTCTATTAATTATATCATTGTATAATTACTTGAGTATATTGTATTATTATTTCGAAAACGTGAATTATTACTGAATCTATTAAATTGACATATTAATATTAAATACATTTTTTATTGGGATGAGAAATCTAAAATATTTAATTATTTTTCTTCACCCTTACTAAGGGCCATCCTAATATAAATATCTTAATCCGCATTATTCTTAACGGTGAAAAAAACCGTTATTTTGAACCGAATAACGTGTGAACTTTCCGCCGATGTGTAATCATTCTAATTAAGGAAGTTTAATGAGAAAAAATTCGTTTAAGGAAGTCTAACGTAAAACATATGTACAATTAAATTTCGTGTATCTCATCAAAAAATTGTGAAACATATTTGTATTCTACTTTGGAAATTCTAAGATAGGCCAAGAAAAATATAGAATATTATGGAACATAACACGTTGCGGTTAGATTAATTTTTTTCCGTATGAAATAATTTCAAAATAATCGTTGCTATAGTTAAAAAGATATTTCTACGTTTGATTTGGATTTCTTCTATAATTTAAATATGTGTTATACGATCCGATTGTAATGTGCGTTTGTATTGTATGAAATGTATACGAAAATATTATAAATTTTGCACGGCGGTGTGAATAGGCAATTTAAGTGCATCGGTGTCGCGCATTTAATTATTGCGTACACAACGCGTGGGTTGTATTTATGATTTTGTTTTAGATTATAACCACCCTTAGCGATCGTGGTACTATATGTATCAAGTTCAAGGGTAGAATAGGATATAGGATAATTTCATGACAATCAAGTCTTTACGTGGGAATATAAATTATAAATATTTTTTTTTTTCTTTTTTTAACAAAAAAAGTTATTGGAGATTGCTTTGATTTCTATTTTCCGGGCCGCAAAATATCACCGATTCGTCCTTGATCGTGTCATAGCTAATATTGTACATCACAAAACTTAGATTTTAAAAGACATTTGCTTTTCTGCAAAAATTATAAGTTTTTTCTAGACAAATTGCAAAACGAGCCGCAATTGAATTAAAAACGCAAAATAGTTTCCGTCCTGAAGACCATTTATTCTTAATCTTTTCAGTGTCACGACCGCCAAAACGGGTCAAAACGAAAATCATTTAACCAACAACAATTGTTTTATCACTCGTGAAACAAATAATTAACCAAACCACGCTCGTTATTGAAAACGATTCCAATGTGTAACTTCTATAGTAACTTTTGAAAATTATTTATTATCCTTAGAAAATAATTCGATGATGTGTGTTTCAAATTTCAATCCGTGAATAATATACCAGCATTTACATATTAAACAAACACACCATTTTATAAAACAATAAATATAAATTAAAGATTTTTTTAAGCCAATTTGCGGTTTTGAATTATTGCTGTCATTGTTCCAAATTGTACATGCGGTCGTGACCAATTTGTGAGTCGGAACCACGGACTAAGAACCACTAAAAAAAACTCTTTGCTTATAAGATAAAACACCAGATCAACAAAATATCGTGTAACACGCGCATGAAATCATTTGCCACGGAATTCGATTTCGATCTGATTCGAGTATCGGATAATTCAACGGTTATTGTGTGAATCACGCGCACATGATAAAATAATACTGAACACTAAACGAATACTTCGGATAGTAGAGAACAGTATTAAACTTGTACTACGTAAACGGACGTATAATGTAATTATTATTTTTCGAGCGAATTCGTGTCGTCCGGTTTATACTAGAGGTCTTGATGGAAAACGTGAATTAATACCCACTTGAAAACGGGGTCCATGAACACGCGAATAAAAAATGTTTATTCTCGTATACTTGATACACGAGAATTTAATATACCTATTCACGTATTTTAGTGTATTCACGTGTTCACAAATATTTGTTTAATCGATCGTTACGTAGTACTGCAGAGTGAATATTAATTGGTCAATGCTGTGTTTACCATAATGGCACGCGGAACTCGGACCCAGGATTCCCGAACTAATGTGGCCTCCGGCCGACAAAAGCTCCGGAAAAAAAATTTACATTTTTACGTCGTAACTTGTCGGCACAATGTATCTCATCTAAATATGTGGCTGTCGGGCTTTAATAATATACGTTGTAACTTAAAAGTATTTAATTTGATTAACCATGCTATATTATTTCTATCCTTAGTATTTTTGAAATTCATCGTTGAATGCGTGTTTTGTGAAATTTTAATTGATCTTAATGTTTAACAATATAATGAAAGTAAAGACAATATCAACACTAAAATACGTGAATACTTAAGTATACAAATACACGTGAATAATTTTACACATGTACATGCATTTTTATAATATTAAGTTCATGGTCATATATTTTCGAATGTAAATTTCACGTAAATACACGTGAAATAGCGAGCTCTAGTTTAAGCCTATTGCACACGCACTTGTAGCCCGTAGTGCGTTTCAGTACGTGACTAGACGAGGAACCGAATAAAATTGAAAACCTGACACGTATGTACACTATCCACGTGAGCGTATAACCATGTGTATATGTTACAAGACATTATACGGAGTGGTGATAAATATATTTTCATAGTCCTGTGTCGCCGTGCGCTTAAACGTTAGTGATAAATTAATCGTAACAATAAGTACGTATTTACAATAGCATTATAATTACGCAGAAAAAAAAACATTGCGATAGCCGAGATATACGTCGTCGATGGGAGCTCAATAACTCGTATCTTAATATATTAAATTTTCAGAGCAATATAATTCACAGCGTACTAAGACATGCACATTTTTATTGTTAAACGTTTTTTTTTAATGAAGATAATAATAATCTTTTCTTAAATATAAAAAATATTCGTTGTGCATTACTATTGATAATATTTGAATAGTAAAGTGTTTACATTTTATATATTTTGTTCATCTGATAATCTAAAACATAATAAATTAACTATTTAGTCTTTTCCCTCCTTAAAATAACGATAAGATTAAAATTTGTCAAAGTGGGTTATTTTTTTTCCACTTTTTTTTTTATGTATAAATGACAAATACGATTTTCTTTTTTCTATATACGTGGTCTGAATCACTAGTCGACGATATTACGATGTCATTAATACTATTATTACTATTGTTGTCATTATTAATATTGTTGTTTTTTTTTTTTATTAGCCTTTTTTAGAAAAAAAAATTTGGCTCAAATTATTGTTGTTATAGTTACAATTAGACGAAGTATCGCGCGTCAGAGGTACGGAAGAAATTTTCAACTCGTACAAGTCATGCTTAAGTACGTTGATTTATGCACGGCTAACCTAACCGCGCGCCCACAATACAACGACCGATATACGCGTTCCTACGAAATGCGATTCGACCGGAATTTTTGGACGGTCGCGGAGGGGTGGGAAAAGCGTAAACAATAACGTAACTGTGCAGCCGTCTCGTATTAATTTCCCGCGAGTTGTTGATGGCGTGGCTCCGAGCCCTTGTAGCCCACCAGCGGTTCCCGCCTACAAAAAATCCCGGACCCGATCCCCGTCACGGCGTCCCTCCTGTTCGCGATTAACGCACGTACCCCGGCGATCCGATTGCAATCTCACAATCGACACCCGAACACCAC